TGACCCTGCTTGTTTGGCTTTTAAAGGCATATATATATATATATTTCAAGGTGGATGTTAATTACCCAGTGAACCTAGACTGACATTGATGTCCTGATATATGCAAATGGATATTGTTATATACCCTCTGGATATGATTGGATGATCATCTGCACTAGAGAAAGAGGAGAAAGAGTTACCAGTCCCATTTCACCTTGAAAGAATTCTTCCTGGCCAAGCAAATGGAAGCAAAGATAAACAACTGGGGCTACATCAATTTAAGAAACTTCTGCACCACAAAAGAAACGATGACTAGAATTAAAAATCACCCCACAGACTAGGAAAGAATGTTTGCCCACTGCTCATGTGACTGAGGGTTAATATAAAGCATGTGTTAAAATTTACAAGAAAAACCACCAACCCTATCAAAAAATGGGGAGAAGAGATGAGCTAAAACCTCTTCAGAACCTTCCTGAGAGAAGACAAACAGATAAATATATGGAAAAATGTTTAATATCACTTATTATCAAAGAGGTGCTAATAAAAATGACAAAGTGATATCACTTCACACCACTTAGACTGACACACATCCAAGAAGCCAGTGTTGGTGTGGATGTGGGGGAAAAAAGGAACAAAATCTCACCCACTGCTGATGGCAGTGTTGACTGGTTCAACCTTTCTGGGAAAATAATATGGACAAATTTCAAAATTAATAAGTGAGCTTCAATTGTACTTTTTGACATCGACTTCAAGGGTCCAAAACTCTATTTAGAATAGTTATTCACTCCTATTTTTATTGCAGCACTTTTCACAAAAGTCAAAATCTGGAAACACCCAAAGTGTCAAGAACAGACAGATGACTGGATAAAGGAACTATGTTGTTTGTGTGTGTATGTGTGTACTCAAGTTACATATATTATATTTATGAAACATATATATATATGAATAGCGCTTGGCTATATGAAAAGCTAAAATCATTTATCAGTTATAAAAACAAAGTAAGGGAATGAGAAATGGCCAAAAATGGCCAGAGACAACAAAATCTGAAAACTGGTTTGTATTTTTTTTTCCCCTTTATTTTATTTTATTTTTTTTAAAGTTGTAGATTTACAATTTTTTGTGCTTTGGTTTCAATTATACAATGATCAGATACCCATCCCTCCACCAGTGCCCATTTTCCACCACCATGGATAATATCCCTCCCACCCCCATCCCCCCATCCCCCCTGTCTCTGTGGCAGGGCAATCCCCTGTGTTCTCTCTCTCCTTTTGGGTGTTGTGGTCTGCAAAAGAGGCATTGAGTGGCAAACATGTTCAGTCCATAGTCTACTTTCGACATGCATCTCCCCTCCTGGGAGGATCCTCCAAACATCCTTTATTTGGTGCTCCCTTCTCTATCTTAACTGCCCTTTCCTCTAGGATACCCGGCTGGCCTCTAAGTTATGGAGTAATCCTCCTGGTGCTGATCTCAGCTATTCTTGGGTATTAATCTCATACTTTGTTACTTTATATCCCCCAGATGAATGCAATCTTTCTGTGTCTATCCCTCTCTTTCTGACTCATTTCGCTTAGCATGATACTTTCCATATTGTACCACTTGTATGTAAATTTCATGACTTCATCTTTTCTAAGAGCTACATAGTACTCCATTGTGTAGATGTACCAAAGTTTCTTTTTTTTTTTTATTTTTTTTATTTTTTTCCCCTTTATTTTATTTTATTTTTTTAAAGTTGTAGATTTACAATTTTTTGTGCTTTGGTTTCAATTATACAATGATCAGATACCCATCCCTCCACCAGTGCCCATTTTCCACCACCATGGATAATATCCCTCCCACCCCCATCCCCCCATCCCCCCTGTCTCTGTGGCAGGGCAATCCCCTGTGTTCTCTCTCTCCTTTTGGGTGTTGTGGTCTGCAAAAGAGGCATTGAGTGGCAAACATGTTCAGTCCATAGTCTACTTTCGACATGCATCTCCCCTCCTGGGAGGATCCTCCAAACATCCTTTATTTGGTGCTCCCTTCTCTATCTTAACTGCCCTTTCCTCTAGGATACCCGGCTGGCCTCTAAGTTATGGAGTAATCCTCCTGGTGCTGATCTCAGCTATTCTTGGGTATTAATCTCATACTTTGTTACTTTATATCCCCCAGATGAATGCAATCTTTCTATGTCTATCCCTCTCTTTCTGACTCATTTCGCTTAGCATGATACTTTCCATATTGTACCACTTGTATGTAAATTTCATGACTTCATCTTTTCTAAGAGCTACATAGTACTCCATTGTGTAGATGTACCAAAGTTTCTTTTTTTTTTTATTTTTTTTATTTTTTTCCCCTTTATTTTATTTTATTTTTTTAAAGTTGTAGATTTACAATTTTTTGTGCTTTGGTTTCAATTATACAATGATCAGATACCCATCCCTCCACCAGTGCCCATTTTCCACCACCATGGATAATATCCCTCCCACCCCCATCCCCCCATCCCCCCTGTCTCTGTGGCAGGGCAATCCCCTGTGTTCTCTCTCTCCTTTTGGGTGTTGTGGTCTGCAAAAGAGGCATTGAGTGGCAAACATGTTCAGTCCATAGTCTACTTTCGACATGCATCTCCCCTCCTGGGAGGATCCTCCAAACATCCTTTATTTGGTGCTCCCTTCTCTATCTGAACAGCCCTTTCCTCTAGGATACCCGGCTGGCCTCTAAGTTATGGAGTAATCCTCCTGGTGCTGATCTCAGCTATTCTTGGGTATTAATCTCATACTTTGTTACTTTATATCCCCCAGATGAATGCAATCTTTCTATGTCTATCCCTCTCTTTCTGACTCATTTCGCTTAGCATGATACTTTCCATATTGTACCACTTGTATGTAAATTTCATGACTTCATCTTTTCTAAGAGCTACATAGTACTCCATTGTGTAGATGTACCAAAGTTTCTTTAACCAGTCATCTGTTCTTGGGCATTCAGGTTTCTTCCAGTTTCTGGCTATTGTAAAGAGTGCTGCAATGAACAAACAAGTGCAGATGTCACTTCGACTATACATTTTTGCCTCTCTGGGATATATTCCCAGGAGTGGTATTGCTGGGTCAAATGGGAGCTCAATTTCTAATTTTTTGAGAATCGTCCATACTGTTTTCCAGAAGGGCTGAACCAGTGGACATTCCCACCAACAGTGAAGGAGTGTCCCTTTCTCGCCACATCCACGCCAGCATCGGTTGCTTTTGTTCTTTTGAATGTGGGCCAGTCTCTGAGGTGTGAGATGGTATCTCATTGTGGTTTTGATCTGCATCTCCCTGATGATTAATGATGTAGAGCATTTTCTCATGTGCTTTTTTGCCATTCGGATTTCTTCTTTGAGAAAGTTTCTGTTCATTTCATTGCCCCATTTTTGGATGGGGTTGGATGTTTTCTTCTTGTGGAGTTTAACCAGTATTTTGTATATCCTGGATATCAACCCCTTGTCAGATGTGTATTCGGTGAATATCCTTTCCCATTCTGTAGACTGTCTTTGTATTTTGGTCACTGTTTCTTTGGAGGTGCAGAAGCTTCTTAGTTTAAGATAGTCCCATTTATCTATCTCTGTTTTCACTTGCTCGGCCAGTGGCATGGCATCTTTGAAGATACCATTAGCTTCAATGTCATGGAGGGTTTTGCCAACTTTATCTTCAATGTACCTTATGGTTTCTGTTCTGATGTTGAGGTCTTTAATCCATTTTGATCTTACTTTTGTACATGGTGTTAGGCAGAGTTCTGAGCCTATTTTTTTGCATGTAGCCGTCCAGTGATGCCAACACAATTTATTAAAGAGGCTTTCCTTACTCCACTTCACATTACTTGCACCTTTATCAAAGATTAGATGAGCATATGATTGAGGAGAGATGTCAGTGTATTCAACCCTGTTCCATTGGTCTGCAGTTCTGCCTTTGTTCCAGTACCATGCTGTTTTAATTATTACTGCTTTGTAGTACAGTTTGAAGTTCGGGAGGTTGATTCCTCCCATTTTCTTTTTCCCAAGAATTGCTTTAGCTATTCGTGGGGGCTTATTGTTCCATATAAATTTCAGGAGTGTTTGCTCCATTTCTTTGAAGAATGTCATGGGTATCCTTATAGGGATTGCATTGAATTTATACAATGCTTTCGGTAGTATTGCCATTTTGACAATGTTAAGTCTCCCGACCCATGAGCAGGGGATATCTTTCCATTTCCTCATGTCCTCTTTTATTTCCTGAAGTAGCGTTTTGTAGTTTTCTTTGTACAGGTCCTTTACTTCCTTAGTTAAGCTGATTCCTAGGTACTTGATTTTCTGGGGCACAATTGTGAATGGGATTGGAAAACTGGTTTGTAGAACTGAGCTTCTCATGGTGGACAAAGTAGTGGTGGTGGTTGTGGTGGTGGTGAGACACTGAGACAGCAGTGAGGGGAAGTGACACTCTGGTGGAGAACGTCGAGTTGGAACATTGTGTGCATGACACCCTGCCATCAATGGTATTGTAAATCGTGGTGACAAAATTAAAAAATAAAAAGAAATTCTCCCTTTATTATTGTTGTCGTTGTTATTGTTATATTTTATCCCGGTTCCCGCATCCCCTCACTCTTCCCTTTAAAAGTGAGTTCCATTTCACAAGCTTTGAGAGTGGATGCCTAGATCACTTTTCAGTATTTGACACTGGAAATGCTGTTTGCTGTCAATTTCTCTGATGTTGACAGTGATTTGTTTGTTAGTTTTTTTTTTTCACCACAGTAGATAATAGGCAGAAGGTAACAGAACCTTCAACACTGTCCAGGCTGAAGGCTGGATGCTGGAGGTGTAGAGTTTATTTGATTTTATGTGAGAAATCAGCATCAGAATGGTAATTAGATTGACAGACCTAATTAACACATATTTCTCTGGTTATTCTTAATAAATGCAATTGCAGAATTTGGCAGAAATAATAAAGAAGAAGGTTGACCAATAAGGAACCTTCCCTTGAAACGGAATTATTGCTGTTCTTCCTGCCACTAACTGGGTCCTGTTTTCATTCCAACAGGGAGGTACCTTCTTCCAAACCCAGTGGCTGGGCCAGCCTGGTCTGCATCAGTGGAGACGTCCAATCTTGTGCGCATGCGCAGCCAGGCCCTGGGCCAGTCTGCACCCTCGCTCACGGCCAGTCTGGTGAGTTCCGCTTAGCACTCTCTGCAGTGGGTGGACTTTGCACGGACTTGCTACCTCCCTAGGGACTATTTTGTGTTTATTGAATTTAGCTAGATCTAAAATTACTGATGTTTGCCTTTAAGAACAGGTTAGGGGGACTGAAGAGTGTACAGTGGAAAGGTCACTTACCTTGCACTAAGATGCTGGTCAGGGTTCAATCCTCGGCACCCCCATATGGTCCCTGGAGCCAACCAGGAGTGATCCCTGAGCTCAGAGTAAGGATTAAACCCTTAACACGGCTGGGTGTGCCCCACCCACCACCTCCTACCCCTGCCCTCAAGATAAAAGCAGATTTAGAAAGTGTATGGGAAAGTTTTCCCAGGAACACCCCGTCTCCCATCTAATTTGAGGTATTTCTGTCAGCTGCATTTTGTCCTCATCCTTTACCCAAAGAAAATGAAAGTGTTTCTAAGCTTTTACAATTTCTTTTAAACTTTATTTGAAATTGATTTCGAATTTAGTTGGAATAAGAAATGAATATAGAACGTCAGTCTCTCCTTTACTCAAATTCATTGTTGACCTTTCCCACAGTTTGCTTTGATTTCTATGTGTGTTTATGTATGCAGATGTGAATATACCCATATGTACATCCATATATAATTTTTTTAACTATTTGAGAGTAAAATGTATGTATCATGGCCTTTTCATATCACGGTTACTGACTTCAGTTTATTTATGGCTGGTATACACCTTTGTCTGCCATCTATGACATCTGTATTTCCATTTTATCCACTGACTTAATAATGTTCTTTATAGAATTCTCCCTAACTTGAGTGTAAGTACACATCTTGCATTTAATCATGTATCTTTTGTCTCATCTGGAAGATTTCTTTGGCTTTTGTGACATTGAGAAATCTGAAAGCTGTGCTACCATCTCTTTCTAGAAAACTTCTCATATTACATGTGCCTGGTGTTTGGTTCCTCTGGGGTGCCTGTGGATTTTGTATTCCAGTCTAGAGTCTGATATTGGTGATAGCCTTATCCTCTCAGGGCATGGCTTCATAGCTCCTTGATGTCCATCTGCCCTTCACTGAGATGGTAATTATTTTTTACCAATACCCAGACAAGATATTGCCTGCTTTCTCCACTCTATTTTGGGCTGTTTTTCTCTTGCAGTCACTAAGCAGTCTGGGCTAGGATGCTTTCAGACCTTGCAAGCATCCTTCTCTTTATCAAAATTTCTCCTTAGGTTTCATTCCATTTCATTCATCCAAATGGTTCTTACCCTTACCCTTTCTTTTCTAAACTAGTTGAATGGTCATTAGTCCAAAGTCAGCACTCTCTATCTTTGCTAATTGGCACACGGGATCAGTATTTGTGTATTTGTCGGCGGCACAGACTCTTGCATTTCCCTTGCTTCCTTTGAGAGCTTTCTTTTAACCATGGTGCTTATTAAAACAATTATTTTTTGGCCCATTCCTGATCTAATCTTTGGCACAGCCTCTATGACTGTACAATTACTTTTACATTGGTATTAGAGTAGAACCGTATAGAATATATTTTTAATGTTTATTATACTGGTGGGCTGGAGCGATAGCACAGTGGGTAGGGCGTTTGCCTTGCACACGGCTGACCTGGGTTCAATTCCTCCATCCCTCTCAGAGAGCCCAGCAGCTGCCGAGAGACAGCAGAGCCTGGCAAGCTCCCCATGGTGTAGTTGATATGCCAAAAAGTGTCAACAAGTCTCACAATGGAGACGTTACTGGTGCCCACTCGAACAAATCGATGAACAACTGGACAACAGTGCTGCAATGCTACAGTGCTATTATACTGGTGATGCGAATAATGTATAAAAGTGTGTTATCAAGTCCATTCCCCCACCTTAAAATATTACTGATCAATTGCACTGGGTATTTGGGAATCATAGTATGTGAAGATTTGATTCTTGTGTAGCCTATGTTCTTGCTTTTGCCTTTAGGTAGTTGTATAAACTTGAACAAGTCACTTCATTTCTCATAGCTTATTATGTTATTTGTCACTGCAAGATGAAAAGAGATAGTTAACATTCTCTGGAATTCAGCTTGGAATTCCTTCATTCTACTTTTAGAGGAAGGACTCTGAATATATTAAATAATTGGACTTTAAAATGTCGTTCTATGGATATTTATGATTTTATAATTGACCATTGATCATTACACCCAAAGTTTTTCTGTTCCTTTCAAGGAAATATACAAGAAAACTTTTGCATGTGTTGAGACCCGAGTTTAAAACTAGCACCACTTGGGGCTGGAATACAGCGGGTAGGGTGTTTGCCTTGCACGCAGCCGACCTGGGTTCAATTCCCAGCATCCCATATGGTCCTCCAAGCACTGCCAGGAGTAATTCTTGAGTGTAGAGCCAGGAGCAACCTCTGTGCATCACTGGGTATGACCCCAAAAACTCAAATTTTATATATATATATATATATATATATATATATATATATAACTAGCACCATATGGTTTTCCATGCCACCTCTGAGCACTTGCTAGGGGAGTTTTGGAGGCCCCTAAGCACTACTAAAGTGGCCCTGGTTGGTCCCTGGCACCCCAAGGCCTGCATTGAATCCCCAGTCCCAGTTAGCTGAGTATCAATGTGAGTTGGCCCCTGGGTATACCCTAAGCACTCCTTGGGTTGTCCAAAAAGAAACATAGGTCTTATTTTTTAATTTATTTTTTGCAAGCATGTGGTTCATTTTCATTTGATTCCTAAAGCATCATAGTGTACGATAGTGTTGATGTTGCTTTTTTTTATGTTGATGTTTTATACTTATAATGCTGTTGTACCATACCCAGATTATCAGTTTCCCTTCTCTATCCCTACATCCTTTTTCCATCCTCCTTTCCCTTGTTTCCACTGAGCATGTCTAATCACTTTACTTTGTTTCTTTGTACTTCACCAATAATATCATCCAGTATTTATTTTTCTTCTGACTCACTCCATTTAGAAAGACCCACTTCAGTTCCATTCAAGTTGAAGTGAATTGTAGTTTGTAATCTTTTCTCATAGTTGAGTAATATCCTATTGTGTATAACAGTACAACAGTTTCAATCCCCTCATATATTGTTGGACAGTTGGTTGTTTCTAAATCCTGGTTATTTTAAATAGTACTATAGTAAATGTAGATTTGCATTTGTCCTTTTTTTTTGAAATAAATATATTTTATTTGGAGGATTTTTAAGGTGTGGAGGGGGAGAGAGTGAGAGAGTAACGTACTCAAGAGAGAACACGGGCTTCTCCAAGGGCAGAGAGAGCCCCTACACACATCCTATCATTAGACGCGAAAGCATGAAAGTATACTCCTCAAGAGGGGAGATGCGGGTGACACATGTGCTTGGGCACCACATGTACTCGGCCACGTGGGCGCAAGCAGCACATGGGCTCAGGCAGCATATGCAACTGCATTTGTCTTTTGGGTTACTGCTTTTGTGTTCTCGGGATTGGGAGTGGAATTACTGACTCATATGGAAATATATATATATTTATATATAGACACACATATATAAATATAAAATGTATGTATATGTATTTTCGCAAAGTCTCCAAAATACTTTTCCATAGAGGCTAAATCAGACAACATTCCCGCCAACAGTGGGTGAGGGCTCCTTTTTCACTGCATTCCCACCTGCATTGGTTGTTTCAGGGATTTTCTTGAAAGACCATTCTCACTGGCATGAGGTAATATCTCATCCTTGTTTATGATTTTTCATCATAATCAATCCCATAATAGTCAGGGCTGTCAAATAATTTTTAAGCCTGTTAGCTTTCTTCATGTTTTCTTTGAGGCACTGTCTGTTCTACTTTGGCACTTACTTTTAAAGGCGTGGGTACAGCAGTGGTGGCTAGAATTTCCTCTATCCTATCCCAAGTTCAAAGTGATTTCTTTTGGGGAAATTTTGCTAAAGTTTATTGTACTCTTAAGTATCTACTTTTTCTTTAAGCATCTTGTAAGAGGAATTAATGACTTAATGAAGTAATTAAAGTAAGAGACAATTTGTGTCTTTAAAAAATGGAAGTGCTTTTAGGGCTGGTGCAGCAGTATTCTTCGTACTTCAGTGTAATCCTATGTTTATTGCCAAATTAAGCATTCTCAGTAAACAGTACTGTCACAAAGGAATATGTCTTATTCCTAATACCCCACTATATAGTGTGGGTTGATTGAAGTAGACTTTTTTGGGAATGGTACACCCACACAAAAAACTCTTTAGACCTTCAATGCCATCGTTCATTTGGGCAGTGGTAAGTTTACTGCACATTTAGCATATGATTTGTATATCCTCATATCTTAGAATGCCAACTACTAGAGATTATTTGCTACTTAATATAATTCCAAAGAGTTTTTTGAAATGTGAAAATCGGTAAATTGTTTGTCTGAGACAAAAAAGTAAATGCATTTTTTTAAAGAAAGAAAGCAACTGTGCCAGACTGATAATATAGGCGGTAAGGCATTTGTTTTGTATATGGTTGCAGCAGGCTTGAGGCTGGTTCACATTCTGGCATCACATCTGGCCCTCTGAGCACTGCCAGGGCTTATCCTATAAGCACAGAGCCAAGAATAGCCCCTGAGCATCGCCCCCGACACCCATGCCCCCCCAAAAAAAGGAAAAAGAAAAAAAGAAGACTAATGCTTAAAAACACAAGGTAATAAGGGTTGTAGGCCATAAAATCAGTCAGGTGATTCTCATCTCAAAGTCCCTTAATTTTTTACCTTACTTTTGCTGCAAATTTTAATGTTTATACTGTTTTATCTTAGAGCAAAATTAGAAAAAAATGTTGAAATACTGTTACTGAAGCAACTTGAAATAGGTATGGAACATAACAAGTCTTAAGTGTTAGCAGAATTAGTACTTCTATTAGTGTTGTGTAGTAGGCAAGAGTGAATACAGAAGTCAGAATGTGACTAACCATTTACTACTGGACAGTGAAGGTTTAAAATTTAATCCATATCGGTTCCCTTCAGTAATTCTACTCCCGGTCCCAAG